TTTGAACCGCCAGCCATCTGGTTAGCAGTCAAGTGTCTCAGCCACTATGCTACCAGAGCTCCCAAAGAGATGGCCCGTCTACCTGGCGGGGAGCGGCCGGTGGGTTTGAACCGCCAGCCTTGGGTGTGGCAGCTGACTGCCCGAGGCCCTGAGGCCATCCCCGGGGGCCAACCAGAAATAGGGAAAGGAAAAAAAGCTGAAAACTAGGACCTGGGAGGGGACGAATAAAGAATAACAGTGAAAGGAACAAAAGCAGTAATAATAATAGTAGTTTAAAAGCAGGCAAAAACAAGCAAACTAAAAAACAGAAAAAAAAAAAAAAAAATCAGGGGAGGGCACCCGGGCTCTGTCTGAGCACACAGACTGGGATAGAGTTCCTGTGGGCCCAGAAGATGAGTGGGAGTGGGGGATGGCTGCACCTCCATTTACCAAGCGGGTGTGAGGTATAAGAGCAACAAGGGGAATATCACACTTTTTCAGTCGTCCGGGTCCGGAATGTCCTTGAGATTACTGGCAAGTGGACCCTGTTCTTAAGCCCCTGGAATCCTTATGAACTCTGTTGCGTTAAATATCCAAAAATGGTCAAGCCACTTGTAAACATTCAAAATGGCTGCACCCTCTGGACAGGCAAGAGTCCACAGCTCAGCCTGCCTTCCTCTTTGCTGCTGCTTTGCCTTTTATTCCCCAGCCACCAGAGCAGTCCTCTGTGCAGTCCCTGGCTAGCAGGGCTGATTTTTAGGTTGATTCTTCAGTCCTGCCACCATTCAGGAATCTCCAAGGTGTCTGCCGTCAGGATCGCTACCTTTTTTGGTATTTTCATGCAAATTCGTCTGCTAGTTTGAGTAGTCCACTTCTATATCCTTCCCTTCAAGGCTCAGGGGTCCAGGATTATCTTCTGTGTCTGTGTTAATTTGTTCCCCTTTTCTTTGTTGAAGAGGGTCTGTGCAGTCTTTGTGCCTATTCTGCCATCTTACCAAAACTCTCTCTGTTAGCTTTTGGGATTTTTTTCTTTGTTTTTTCCACAATTTGACTATGATTTGTTTAGGTTCCACCGTTTTCTTGTGGCCAAAGTGACATATTTCATAGATAAGAACTTCTTGTTATTCATGATTTCTCAGACTTTGGTCTTAGTTATCTAGTGCTGCTATAATAAATACCACAAATGGATGGCTTTAACAAACAATTTATTGTCTCACAGTTTAGGACGCTAGAAGTCCAAATTTAGGTGGTGGCTATAGGGGAAGACTTCTTTTCTCTGTCTGCTTAGGGAGTGTCCTTATCTCTTCATCTTCTCTTCCTGGTTCCTTACAGATGTCCAAGTGGATTGCCATCTTATCTTCCCCTATCTATGCTTGCTTGATCTTCTTTTATACCTTTTTTTTTTTAAAAAAAAAAAAAACCAAACCTTTTTTGTTGTGATTTGGGTGAATGTTTACAGAGCAAATTGGTTTCCATTCAACAATTCACATACAATTTCTTTTGTGACATTGATTGCAATGCCTATAATGTAACAGCACTCTTCCTGCTTCCTCCCTGTTTATCCTCCTTCATTCTTAGCCCTTCCTGCATTCTGAACTTTATTGCCAGGCAAATGCTCTTTTTGGTCTTGTGTGGTTGATTGTTCCAAGGAATGTGTATCTCCCTGGTGTTATTGTTCAATATATAAGCCTGCCTATCATTTTGCTGAAATGGAGCCATGTGGGTGAGTCCAGTTCCAGGCCTGAAGGATATCTAAAGGATATAGTGTTGGAGGTTCCTGTAGTCTTTATCAGACCAGGTAGTCTAGTATTTTAAATAATTTTGAGTTTTTTCCACATCTTTCTCCCACTCTATCCAGGACCTCCTTTTGTGATACCTTTCAGAGTAATCAGTAGTTGTAGTTAGGCACCATCAGTTCTTCTGGTCTCAGGGTCATGGATTCTGAGTTCACATGGTGTATTAATCCTTTGGACCATTTCCTTGTGTCTTTGGTTTTTTTCACTCTTCTTTACTCCAGACGGGGAGAGACCAATAGTTGTCCCTTAGATGGCCACTCTCAAGCTTTTAAGACCCTAGTCACTAATCACCAAAGTAGGATGTAGTACATTGTCTTTGTGGACTGTGTTATGCCAGTTGACCTTAGTATCCCCTGAGACTATGGTCTTAAGCCCTCAGGCCCAGCAAGTCATTCTCTTAAGGTGTTTGTTTTGGCTAAGAAGTTTTCATAACTTTGCCCCTGTATGAGCTACTGTATTCATGGATATATTTGTAGCATATGTAAATACATATGTAGAAATACCCTGTGTCAAACCTGTGTATGTTACTCCTTTTATATTTTAAGGAGCTCTGGTGGTGCAATGCCTAAGGCATTTGACTCTTAACCAGAAGGCTGGCGGTTCAAACCCACCAGCCACTCCATGGAAGGAGGCCAATCTACTTCTACCATTTCGGAAACCCAGTGGGGGTCAATAAATGACTTGGAATGACTGGATGGCAGTGGGTTTGGTTTGGTTTTATCTTAATCTGGTAAGAGATTGACTCAAAACACACCCTACACTAATCCCACCTCATTAACATACCAAAGACAATCCATTCCCAAATGAGATGATAACCACATGCATGGAAGTTAGGATTTACAACACATTTGTGGGAGACACAATTCAGTCCATAATATCTAGTCATGATTATCTGATCTTCCATTTCTTTCATGACACAGTACTTTGGAAGCATCTCAATGCTTAATGTATTTTTACACAAATAACATACACTCACAATTGTTTGCCAACTGCACTCTCCCCCTGTGAGATATTTTTGTTAATCCCACTATGCTAGTTCTCTCTTTTTACAGCAACTTGTTAAAAAAAAAAAAAAGAGAACAGGCATAGTGGCACTTACGAAAATACCTCACAGTGGGAGAGCGTGGTTGGCAAACTTGTAGAGGTTGTACGTTATTTGTATAAGAATACATGTGTACAGCTTTTACTTTAGACTATTAGATGCTCTTGCTACCTGTTTTGGAGCTTAAATAACCACTTAATTCTGTGTGTTCTGCTCTTTGAATTTTAGAAGTCATTGAAGAAGTTAGAACCCAAATTCTGGCACCTTGAATATTGCATCATTTTTCTAAGAAGAAGTTGATCTGCTTCTACTTTATTCATCAACTTCTGTTAGACTTAATGAACAAAACCCTTTTTGGTCCCCTCCCCGCCAATTCATTCTATTTTTTGGCATTGTTATAAACATTTTTACAATTTTAAAAATGTTTTTTCAATGAGTATCTAAAATTCCTTAAACATAAAAGGAGATAATTAAGAATAGCAAAGTTATAAGAAAGACTTAGTAATAATTATTTCTACTACTTCTGTAATAAGTAAAACAGTTATTACGTGTCAGTCTCAATAAAGTTCTAAGCACTTACATTAACTTATTTAATTATTACAATGGCTGTATGAGGTTACTGTCTTCATTTTACAGATTAGGTATTACAGACAGGTATTTTACAAATAGTTAAGTAACTTAAATTGACAGCTGGGATTTGAACCCAGCCTCTGCTTCCATAGTCCTTGTTTTTCAAAAGATCATAAATATAAAGAAGAATCAATTGGTGGTGAGTGATATGGAGAAAAAAGACATAGGTTTCAGGCATATATACCCAGGAAGTCACAGACCCTAGCTGTCCACTAGAATAGGCCAGGAGAAAATTCAATCCTTAAAAAAAATCAAAAGAATATTGGTGTTAAAACAAAGAGCCTCTCTAAGGAATCACTCTGGCCTTTATAAGCATACCCCTTGGGCCAACAAGTCTGGAGCCATAACCAAGATCAAATTTGAGCTCTGGAACTACATGCTCAATGTGGCTATTTAAAATTAAACTAATTAAAATGAAATACAATTAAAAATTCAGTCCTTCAACTGCACTAGCCTCATTTCAAGTGCTCAGTAGCCACATGTAGTCAGTATACTAGAGAGTGCACATAGCACTGCTTTCAAGTGATGACAACTCCTGGCCAGGTGTGCTTATTTTACTTTTGTTATACCCTTCCTGCCAAGTGTGGTGTAGTAAATTACGTGGTATGGCTTTTCTAGTCACAGTCTTTGTAACTCCCACTTTGCTGTGAGCAAATGAGTAGCTGATTGTTAAAGTTATCTACCTGGTGTTACTGTTGTTACATGCTGCTTCTGTTGGAGCAGCATGAAGCAATCTTCTGGAAAGTTTGCTGTCTCAGGTGTGTAGAATTCTGATGTTGGGATTGGTTGATTTTGCCACTCTGCCAGGCTCAAAGTGAGCCCTTCTAGAGGCAGAAGGAAGTCTCTGACTACCAGCTGAGAGAGACATGCTGCTGAAAGAGATGTGCTGCTGAGAGAGAGATGTGAGAAAGAGACACAAGAGACTCTCACTGCTAACAGAGAGACATGCTGCTGAGAAAGACTAAGAGAAGTGGCTTGCTGAGAGAGACAGCTGGCTGAGAGAGACTGAGTGTGTTCCTGAACTTGAATTGTAGCCTGTTGCTTCCCTAATAAATCCTGTAACCTGTGAGTTCTGTGTGGTCACTGCAGCGATTTATTGAACCCAGCAGAGAGGTGGTGGGTGCCATGGGAGGAACAGTTGGTGATAAGGTTACTAAGAGGGTTGGAGGGTGGCGGCATGTCTGGCCTTATTAGAATAGGCCTTGGGCTTCTGATAGTGATTCTGTTTCCTCTTGTGTAGTTAGGGGAGGTCAGAAGATGCTACCTCACTGTGTCTTTAGCACCAACTTATTTAACGTTTTCTCATGTTTTATCTCTGACTTTACCTTGCTTGCCCTCAACTGCCTTATTTGGCATTTACACACTATTTTGTCCATATCTGAACTTTAAGATTAATAATAGCTCATTTCTTATCTTTGTTTTTATTCTTAGGGAAAATGAGTAATATTTAAGACGTAAGATTATTAATAAATGTCAGAATAAAAAAGATTTATCTCTTTTAAATTAACGTTTAAAACAATTATTTGTTTTTTTCCTTTTATTTAATAATTAAGGAGGAGAAAGTTCAGGCCATGCCACTCCCTCTCAGGAGAATAGTGAATGTTTAAATCCAAGACCTACAGAGGACCTCACTGTCAGAGTGGAAAGGTTTGTTCTTATTTTTTCATGTAGTAGTTTGTTCAAAAAAAAACAATGTTTCAGTGATTTCATTATTTTGAATAAAAGCTAAAATTACACAAAGGACATTTCAGAATTTTGTGTTGTAATATTTGATCATCTGAACTTTTCAGTATCTCTGAATGAAGTCATCAGTCACTTCTAGGTCTGGTTATTCTTACAACTTCCTTTTTACTGGTATTTTGGTATGTGTGTGTTTCCATCTGTCACTTCTGTTTATATCGGTCCGTACTGTAGGATAAAAACCTCCAAATGATCTAGGGTTTCAGCCAATTTTATGACTGTCTACTGAGCTTGGGGTTGTGTGTGAGTGTCTAATAAGTTATTTTTTATTAGTTGGTCTAATAATCAGATGCAAATTTCTGACTTTTTGTTTCCAGTTTAGTATTAGAAGCCATAAGGAAACAAAGTTCAGAATGATTACCAACATGGTGACTTTGTGTTTGCCCATGACTCAAGATCAGTTTCATTTCAGCAAAACCCTGAACATTCTGATTGTTCTATACATTCTTTGTAAAAGTTGGGCATGGCCAAGACTTTGAGGTGTAAATCCTTTTATAAACCAAAACTCAATACCATCAAGTCGACTCTGACTCATAGTGACCCCTCCTTGGGTTTTCAAGTGGTATCACTGCAGAAGTAGATTGCCCAGCCTTCCTTCCGAGGAGTGGCTGGTGGGTTTAAACTGCCAGCCTTCTGGTTAGCAGTCACATGCCTTAGGCACTATGCCACCAGAGCTTCTAATCCTTTTGTAGTGGAATGGAAATAGCATAAGATCAGAACAGCAGCAGAGAACCAAGGTTCCCACTGGCTCATCCTCTTTTGTTTCTTTGTTTTGCTAACAGTAGGCCTTCATCTGTGTACTCTTGTACCACCCTTGGATGAAATGAAAACCAAAATTCTGGAAAAGGGATTGGAGACTTGGGGAAAGGGAGGAAGAAATACGTCAGGTAGCAACAGCAACTTTATTGGGTCAGTTGGGGATCAAGCACTATTTATATTTAGGGTAGTGGCAAAGAGGAGTTTCTGTGGCTATTGTATCTTAGTAATTTCCATTCCTATGTAACAGAATGTCAGTTGATGTCTGCCTGTGTGATTCTGCAAATAGAATATCATTTTTAATTAAAAATGGTTTTTATACTTAAACATACTGGTGTGTATGTGTTACCTGTAGTATGAATGAAAGACTCTTTATGACATACACCAAAATGTTTATACTAATAGCTATGAAAGAGAAATTACGACTTTTTTTCATCTAGTTCAGAGATTACATATTTTCCTCTTTATTATTTTGTAATTAGCAATTATTGAGTACTACTTTCATACCCCACTCGTCTGTCATTTTGTTGTACTGTGAGGCTTGTGTGTTCCTGTGAGACTGGAGGTTATGCCAGCAGTATTTCATACCAGCAGGGTCACCCATGATGGACAGGTTTCAGCAGAGCTTCTAGACTAAGATAGACTTGGAAAAAGGAAGGGGCCATCCACTTCTCAAAGAACTGGCCAGTGAAAACCTAATGAATAGTAGTGAAACACTGTCTGATATATTAGTAGAAAACTTTATGAATAGCCCTGAAACATTGTCTGATAGTAGTGTCAGAAGATGAGCCTCCCAGGTCAGAAGGCACTCAAAATATGACTAGGGAAGAGCTGCCTCCTCAAAGTAGAGTCAACCTTAATATGGATGGAGTAAAGCTTTCAGGACCTTCATTTGCTGATTTGACACAACTCAAAATGGGAAGAAACAGCTGCAAACATCTGTAAATAATCAGAACATGGAATGTATGAAGTATGAATCTAGGAAAACTGGAAGTTGTCAAAAATGAAATGGAATGCATAAAGATCTATATCCTAGGGATTAGTGAGCTGAAATGGTCTTCTTTTGGCCATTTTGAATCAGACAACCATATGATCTACTATGCCAGGAATGACAGTTTAAAGAGGAATGGCATGACATTCATTGTCACAAAGAATGTCTACCCTGAAATACATTGCTGTCAGTGATGGGATAATACCTATATGCCTACAAGGAAGACCAGTTAATACTACTGTCATTCAGATTTACACACTAACCACCAAAAGCCAAAGATGAGGAAATGGAAGACTTTTATCAACTTCGGCATCTGGAATTGACCAGACATACGATCAAGATTTATTGATTGTTACTGGTGATTGGAATGTGAAAGTTGGAAACAAAGAATCACCAATAGTTAGAAAACCTTGGTGATAGAAATGATGCTGGAGATCACATGATAGGATTTTGCAAGACCAATGACTTACTTATTGCAGATACCTTTTCTCAACAACATAAATGGTGGCTGTACACATGATACCTACCAGGTAGAATACACAAGAATCAGATTGCCTATATCTGTGGAAAGAGGACATGGAGCAGCTCAATATCTTCAGCTAAAACAAGGCCAGGAACTGACTGTGGAACAGGCCATCAACTGCTTATATGCAAGTTGAAGACAAAAAAAAGTCCACAAGAGCCAAAATGACCTTGATTATATCCCACCTGAATTTAGAGACCATCTGAAGAATAGATTTAACTCACTGAACACCAGTAACTGAAAACCAGACAAACTGTGGGATGACATCAAGAACATCATCCATGAAGAAAGCAAAAGGTCATTAAAAAGACAGAAAAGGAGGAAAAAACCAAAATGGATGTCAGAAGAGACTCTGAAACTTGCTTTTGAATGTAGAGTAGCTAAAGCGAATGGAAGAAATGGCAAGTAAAAGAGCTGAACAGAAGATTTCAAAGAGCAGTTGAGAAGACAAAGTCAATTGTTATAATGAAATGTGCTAAGACCTGGGTTAGAAAAACAAAAGAAAAGAACACAGTATTTCTCAAGGTGAAAGAACTGAAGAAAAAGTTCAAGCCTCGAGTTGTAATATTGAAAGATTCTATGGGCAAAATATTGACTGATGCAGGAAACATCAAAAGAAGATGGGAGGAATACAAAGAGTCACTGTACCCAAAATAATTAGTTGACGTTCATCCATTTCAGAAGGTGGCATATGATCAAGAACCAATGGTATTGAAGGAAGAAGTCAAAGCTGCACTGAAGGAATTGGCAAAAAACAAGGCTCCAGGAATTGATGGAATACCCCTTGAGATGTTTCAACAAAAGAATGCTGCCCTGGAAGCATTTACTTGTTTATGCCAAGAGATTTGGAAGACAGCTACCTGGCCAGCTGACTGGAAGAGATCCAATTTGTACCCATTCCAAAGAAAGTGGGTGCCACATAATGTGGAAATTATTGAACAATGTCATTAATTTCACATACAAGTAAAATCTTGCTGAAGATAATTCAGAAACAGTTGAAGCAGTATAATGACCTAGAGCTTCCAGAAATTCAAGCTGGATTCAGAAGAGCTTATGCAATAAGAGATATTGCTGATGTCAGATGGATCTTGGGTGAAAGCAAAGAATACCAGAAATGTGTTTACTTGTCTTTTATTGACTATGCAAAAGCATTCACCTGTGGATCATAACAAATTATGGATAACATGGAGAAGAATGAGAACTCCACAATGCTTAATTGTGCTCATGGGGAACCTATACATAGACCAGGAGGCTATCATTCGAACAGAACATGCATGGTTTAAAATCAGGTAGAGACTGCGTCAGGTTGTATCCTTTCACCATACTTACTCATTCTGTATGCTGGGCACATTATCCGAGAAGCTGGACTATATGAAGAAGATTGCGGTGTCAGGATTGACGGAAGACTCATTAACAACCTGCGATATGTAGATGACATAACCTTGCTTGCTGAAAGTGAAGATGTCTTGAAGCACTTACTGATGAAGATTAAAGACTACAGTCTGCAATATGGATAACACCTCAGCATAAAGGGAATGAAAATTCTCACAAATGGACCAATTAGCAGCATCATGATAAATGGAGAAAAGATTGAAGTTGTCAAAGATTTCATATTACTTGGTTCCACGATCAACACCAATGGAAGCAACAGTCAAGAAATCAAATGACTTGTTGCATTGGGCAAATCTGCTGCAAAAGACCTCTTTTAAGACCTGAAGAGCAAAGTGCTGAAGACTGACGTGCGTCTGATCCAACCCGTGATATTTTCAGTCACCTCATATGCATGTGAAAGCTGGACAGTGAATAAGGAAGACCTAAGAAGAGTTGTAGTGTTGTTGAAGAATATTGAAAGTACCATGAACTGCAGAAGAACTAACAAATCTATCCTGGAAGAAGTGCAGCCAAATGCTCCTTGGAAGCAAGAGTTTCCAGACTTCATCACACCTACTTTGGTCATGTTGTCAGAAGGGACCATTCCCTCGAGAAAGGATATCATGCTTGGTAAAGTGGTGGGTCATTGAAGAAGGGGAAGACCCTCAGTGAGATCAGTCGACACAGTGGCTGCAATGATGGGCTCAGGTATAGCACAGATTGTTAGGCTGGCCTTGGACCAGGCAAAATTTTCTTCTGTTGTACATAGGGTCACTGTGAATCAGAGCTGGCTTGACAACACCTGACAGCAACAAATTGCTTTCATAAGGAGTCTTGGTGGTACAAAGGTTAAGTGCTTGGCTGCTAACCGAAATTTGGCAATTTGAATCCACCCAGTGGCTCCTTGGGAGAAAGATCTGGCAGTCTGTTCTTGTAAAGATTACAGCTTGAGATCTGCTGTGTCATACAGGGTCACTGTGAGTCAAAATCAACACAAATGCACGTAACAACGTGATTACTTTCATCATTAGCATATCTTTATTAAGTTTCCTCCAACTAAAAAAAAGTTGAACCTCTCAGAGATTTATGTATACATAGACACACACTTCTTACTTATTGACATGGTGTTACATTCCAGAGACCATTCACTTTGTGAAAATCAGCATTATGTGGTAATGGAGGATGACTAACTATATCATTATATAATGGCTGAACCACTGAGAATTATGACTCAGCTAAGTTGACACGTGACATTAACCATCACAGCCAGCATTGCTCTTGCCTCACATCTCGGTGTTTGTTATTGCCAGATATATACATCATTAACGTGCAAAATAGATAGTAAACTTTACTATTACCGTAAACGTGAAATGTCAGATAACAAGATAGTCAATAAGTGAAGAGTGTATGTATAATATATATATGTATGTATCTTTTAAAGCATATGATGTTGGGACCATGACATGATGTATGTATAGGCTGGGTGCTTTAAAAAAGATACTGATACTGAAGTTGGATGAAATATTGATGAATTGTTTTTGATAAAACTCTTGATGATGAAACTTTCGTTACTGGAAATTACATTTTCATTGCTTAGATAATCTTTGAAAAACCCTGATTATTTAGTCATTTAATTAATAGAGTCCTTGTTGCTGAGACAAATTTATCAGACTGAGTTGATCTACATAGCTTAGGTAGATTCTAATACTAATTCATAAATTGTTGTCCTCTGTTTTATTGAGATGAGTTCATACCCAATAAGGAGTTCTGTTCCTTTTGTGCCTTTGATTCAATGACACTTCTAAATAACTAATAACACGAATCTATGTCATTTTCCTATCCTAAATGTCCTATTAGCTCATCCTTTATACCCTTAGGTTTGCCTTCATTTTCACCATCCCCTGCCATAGTCTGTGTAATGCTATTATTACCTCTGACTAATGTATTCTCTGGCATCATCTGAAGGGTTATTGGATCAGAAACTCTAAAATTCTGCCACTTTCCATATCTCACAGAACTGAACTGCTTTGCTTTTTCCAGCCCAGATAAATTGGGCCCATAAATCCCTGTGGTACACGATAGTATTTATAGAACTTTGTAATATCAGACTCTACAAAATTTCCTGGATTTTTATCTAACTTTGGTGATATTTTAAAATAAGTTTTATACAAAGTAAAAATTCAATCTTAAAACTTGGCAGGAGGGATTAATAAATGTAAAATCCTTACTTTCTTCTCAGGCTATGACATTTATTCCCAGAGACTGAGTTTTTGGAAAATGAATTACTCAACATTAGGTCTTGGGCTTTTTTCTTATCTAACTATTTTGTTATTACGTGCCATCGAGTTAGACCCGACTCATAACGACCCCTCCTTGGGTTTCCAAGGCGGTATCACTATGGAAGTAGATTGCCCAACCTTCCTTCCGAGGAATGGCTGTAAGGAGAGATAATTTTGTTAGAGGAGAATGTGAATGACCCAAATTGATGTCAGCCTGGAAACTCATCCTTCCTTGCACATAGTCTTTCAGCCTTGAATTGCCTTTTGTCAAGGAAGTAAACTTAATTTTTAACAATCAGATTGGTGATCTGTAATTGTTATGTCTAAATTTTTGCTTTTGATACTAATTAAAATATATGATTTTTTTTATTCTTAAAGCTAAAGGATGTGAAGTATAAATCGTTTAGTGATTGATGTGAATACGTGAATCTGTTAGTCAAAATGCATTATTTTGTTTAAAAATGGGCAGAATTATCTGGGAAAGATAATATAAAGTGCCATTAATTCCTCTCCCAGCCTTAAAATTGGAAAGGTTTCAAACCTAACAAAAACTGAAAGAATATAATGAAATTTTTTTGGCTGAATCATTTGAAACTTGCCGACATCATTTCACTTCATCCCTAAACACTTCAATATATATCTCCTAAGAATAAAGATATTTTCAGATACTAGTACAATTCTAGGAATTCTGGTGGTACAGTGGTTAAGTATTTGGCTGCTAAATGACAGGTCAGTAGAGTGAACCCATCAACCACCCTGTGGGTGATAACCCCGGTGATATACTCCCTTAAAGATGTCAGCCTAGGAGACAGAATGGGCCATTGGAGCCATTCTACTCTTTCCTGTAGCGTCATTCCAGGTTGGAATCAACTCGATGACAAACAACAACAGTACAGTACCATTATCACATTCAAGAAACTGTAACTTAATACAGTAAGGTTTTCTTATATACTGTCTCTATTTACATTTCCCCAATAGTCCCAATAATGTCCTTTATAACCGCGTCCACCAGTGTAGAGAAGAGCACTGATACGTGTTCTCTCACCTTTAATCGCTATTTTTTTTTACTACTTTTAAAGACAGCAGCACCCAGATCAAGACATAGAAAATTACCAGGTCGTAGAAGCCTTCTTAATGCTCCTTCTCAATTATTGCTTCCCTCTCAAGGATGACCGCTATCCTGAATCTGATACCACAGATTAATTTTGCCTGTTTTTCAACTTTATAATTCTGCCCATTTTTAAACAAAATAATGCATTTTGACTAACAGATTCACGTATTCACATCAATCACTAAACGATTTATACTTCACATCCTTTAACTTTAAGAATTAAAAAAATCATATATTTTAATTAGTATCAAAAGCAAAAATTTAGAATCATACTGCATGTATTCTTTCTGTGTTTGATCTCTTTTGCTCACCATTATTTTTGTGTGGCTCATCTGTGTTGCTGCATGTGTCATTAGTTGATGCAGTCTCATTTCTGTATTGTTTGACTGTACTACATTTTATTTATCCTTTCTACTATCAATAGCCATTAGAATTATCTTTAGGTTTGGGTTATTATGAACAGGGCTGCTGTGAACATTCTTGTACATGTCCCAGTGAACATATGTATGCATTTCTTTTGGGCATATATATGGGAGTGGGAATTTCTGGGTCATGGATACTGGCCAGTTTTCCATAATGGTTGTACGAATTGATACTCCTCTCAGCAGTAGATCCTTTTTGTTCCTTCTGTTGTTGTTGTTGTTTGCCATCGAGTCGGCCCCGACTCATAGCGACCCTTCCTTGGGTTTCCCAGGCAGTATCCCTATGGAAGTAGGATTGCCCAACCTTCCTTCCAAGGAGTGGCTGGTGGGTTTGAACCGCCAGCCTTCTGGTAAGCAGTCAAGTGCCTTAGGCACTATGCTACCAGAGCTCCTTTGTTCCTTCTAATGTGTTGTTATATATAATTCATCTTAATATTTTTGGTGCACACTTTGCCCCAAATTTGGTTGGTACAATCTTCATGCTAGCTTTTCTGCCCTTATCAGCACATACTTGATCTCTGGCAGAAGTTGTTCAGCTGAGTTTTATCATTTACATATACTTGTATATCCCAAATCTATATCAGAGAAAGTACCAGTTAAACAAATTGAGATATAATTAATGTAACATTTAAAAAAAAAAACAAAACCCACCTTTTTAATTGTAGTCAATGTCATGAGACAAAGTGTGTATGAACTGCTGTATGGAAAGTGAATTTGCTCTGTAAACTTTCACCCAAATCATTCATTCATTCATAAATCAGTCAATCAATCAATCAAACAAACAAACCCTATGGAGCACAGTTCTACTCTGACACACAAAGGGTTGTCATGAATCCCCCCACCCCCAACCCCCCCACCCCCAAAAAAAACCATCTTTTTAAAGTGTACAGTGCAGTGGGTTTTGGTATATTTGCAAGGTTGTACAACCATCACCACCATGTAATTGCAGAACCATTTTTTTATTTGTTTCTGTTTTAGCTGAGAAGTCTATCAAATTTTTCATGCTGTTCACTTTAGAATGATTAGTTTTTCAATGATGAACTTCTTACAGTTGGAAATATGAATAGCATATTTTGGTATTGTTGTTAAGTGCTGTCAAGTCGGATCCGACTCATAGTGACCGCTCCTTGGGTTTCCAAGGCAGTATCACTACGGAAGTAGATTGCCCCATCTTCCTTCTGAGGAGTGGCTGGTGGGTTTGAACCGCCAGCCTTCTGGTTAGCAGTCAAGTGCCTTAGGCACTATGCTACCAGAGCTCCCTTGGCATTATTAGTAGCTTCTATAGATGCCCTTACATTTTTGCTCTTACTTTTAATAATTTTGTGCCATGTTGGTGGTTAGGGGTAAAACATTTGTAAATCATCCATTTATATATTGTTTGAAACTTGTATATTTTAAAATCAATATCAGATAAATCAGATCCCTCAAAAATGAAAACTAAAGGTAAGTAGGAGATAAGGATACTTTGGATGGGCTGCAGTTGGTGCATAGATTTCTCTAGGTACCAGAAACTTGGCAGATAAATTATTACTATTGTGCTTCCAAGGGCTTTTCTTATAAGTGTCTACATTTCCTCAGTTATTTTTAGCTAAATAAATTTCCTAAATGTATTTGACCTTAATATGATGAGTCTCAATTAATGTATTTTATTTAAAACACAGACTAACCAAAAAACTGGAAGAAAGGAGAGAAGAGAAAAGGAAGGAAGAAGAACAGGTAAAATCCATGCACCTAGCATTGTTTTACCCATCCATTCAGTGAAGAGTAGACTTAGGATGGCTTTGTAGTTACATTTCAGTGTGACAGCATTTGTGAAGGGAGTTTTCTGTCTTTCTTAGTATCTTCATATTATATGCTTTTTGTGTTCTTTTTCTTAAATTGTTAGGAATAAATTGGACCATCGTCTGTCTGCAACAAGTCTTTTCCACTAAAAACAAAGACACTTAAGCTGATATTATTTGATGTGAGGTAGAAGATCAAATTTTAAGTTTCTTTTGTGGAAAAGAAATATGTAGACATTTTGCTGAATTTTTCCCTCTCCTGTTGCTGTATTCTAGTGCAGCATTCATTTTTTATCACCCTATATATCTAAACTGCATCATCACTTTGGGTTCTAATATAGGAAAGTTATCAGTTCTTCAAATAAGTGACTGCCTTGTTGCCCTTGGAGTTGGTAAAATATTAATTTGAGAAATCAAAGACCTGTGAATCTCTTGCTTTTAGCTTACATTGACTACATCATAATCTTAACCATTGCCAAAGGTATACTAATTGGTAGACATTTGACCGTTAGCCATGCTGTCGATAAACTTTAAATAGACCCTTACATTTTAAGACATTTTACCCCTTTAGGTATACTGTATAACCAGCTTGCCCTACATTTAAAATAATACCTGAGGCAGACTGTCAAATTCATTTCTAGCTCTTAAATCTTATTTTCTCTTTAATTCAGAGAGAGATTAAGAAGGAAATTGAGAGAAGAAAAACTGGAAAAGAAATGTTAGATTATAAAAGAAAGCAAGAAGAAGAATTAACAAAAAGAATGTTAGAGGAAAGAAACAGAGAAAAAGCAGAAGATAGGGCAGCTCGAGAGCGTATAAAACAGCAGATTGCTTTGGTGAGTGTTAATTTTACTTTTAATGCTTTACTCCAGGAAATTTGTAAAATTATTTTTCTATGCATGTTGACTTTGGTTTATTCTAAGATGGAGCATGTGTAAATAGTATAGTTAAGTGATTCAAAGAGTAGCAGTTCTCAGCTTTATTTTGTTAGAAATTGCTTATTAAGTTAAGATATGGTTATGGTTGAGTTTTTAGATTATTTTTTCAAAATGATTTTTCTCCGTGTTTTCGTATGTTACAAATTTCATTAAGTAAATCAGAAGGCAGTTTTCAGGGATTCTCTGGAAAACAAGCTAAGAACTAGTTACTTAGTAATCTTTAGTCACAAGTATTCCTTTTTGGGGATGAAGGATTTAGGTATATCATAGAACCCTAGGATGGTTTTGTAATAATTGCTTTTAGAATTAAGCTGTATTATACATATGAAAACCACTCCTCCCTTAATAGTGTTTGTTCATTTGTTCATTCAGCGAATACTTACTGAGCATCTACTATGTGCCAGACCTTGCTTCAGGGTTTGTGAGTGAACAAAATCAAGGTCTTGTTTATTCAATAATAACTTGAAGTCTCTGACAATTGGTAATATTAAAGATGACCAGATTTAGAATGATATAGTTCACATATGGCTATAAGGAATTTCATGAGTATGATGTTTCTCATTAACTTGAGTTTGGAAGTGTGTGAATAGATAATTTTGGCAGTGAAAGATAATTGGTGTCTAATGTTTTAAAGGACCGTGCAGAGAGAGCTGCTCGTTTTGCAAAGACAAAGGAAGAAGTAGAAGCTGCTAAAGCAGCTGCCTTGCTAGCCAAACAAGCAGAAATAGAAATCAAGAGGGAATCTTATGCAAGAGAAAGAAGGTACTTTATTTCATGCTGAAACATCTATATGGTTGTATGAACTAAGGAGAACAATG